AGTTGCTCTAAGTGAATCCGCGCATATATTCTCAGTTAAACTTCATGTGTTGGAGGGTACAATTATCCCCACTTTACAAATAAGTAAATGTGGATCAGAGAAGTTAAATGACCCACTCCACTAAAGTTTTCTCATTTCAAGCCCGACACTCAGACCTTTATGCCAGAGCTGGTGCCCAAACCAAACAACATAAACATTGCAGCAAATTACAAATATTTAGTTTCCTGAAGAACTTAATATGAAAGATAAAAATATTAAAGATGGCATTGTAAAGAAAATAATACTAACTGGAATTTTAGCAGTCTTGTTTTTTCTTTTTCTTTTTGTGGAACTGGAGCTTGAACTCAGGGCCTACGTGCTTGCTAGGCAGGCACTTTACCACTTGAGCCATTGGTGACTTTTTTGGTAGTGATAATTTGGGGTTTTCCCCCTCTTGGTGATAAAATGCAGCTGAGCACTGGTATTATGTGTTGAGAAATTTCCCAAGACAAGATTTATAGAACCATTGTTTATGCTCTCACATGCTGACTTACAGTAGTAGGAGACCCAGAAAAATTTAGCTTTATGAATGTTGTATTTATAACCCTTTGTGTGTAGTATGTCCAAAATGGCTAATATGCATGCTGGACAGATAAGCTCCTGGCATCCTTTATTTCTTTTTCCTGCTGCAGGGATCTGTTGGAGGTACTCAAGGAAATAGGTCCTGAATTCTACTGCTGGTTTAGCTTACATTTCCTTTCCCTGAAAGGCAGTGAAAATCATCCATATGTTTATTGGCCATTTAACTTTCTTTTCATGAAATACCAATTACTCTTTGCCAGTCTTTCTCATACTGATTTGAAGGTGTTCGTTTTGTATAATGGGTACTAATCCTTTGCAGTTTATGCATGTTATAAGTAGTTTTTTCTAGACTATTGTTTTTCTTTATTATTAACTTATGTAATATTTCAAGGTATTTTAAATTTAATAATGCACATTTATCAAGTCTCTCTGTTTCGGTTGCCCTTTTGGCCGAAAAATTTCTTCCCTACTCTGAGATCAAAAAGTTGTAAAGTTTTGGTTTTTACTTTTTTCATCTAAACTATCTAGGATTTGTGTGTGTGTGTGAGTGTGTATGTGTACGTGTGTGTGTATTTGGGATAAAGAAGGGCTACCTGTATTTTGTTTTATATGGCCAACGTAGTTTCAGCACCATTTGTTCAACAGTTCACCAGTTCCCCCACTGATACATATTGACATGTCTGTCATGAATCAGTATACTATATGTGTACGAGTCTGTGTCCTCACTCTCTGTCCCGTTCCATTAGTCCAAAATTCAACTCATGTACCCAAACCATGTTCATACTTGATCATTGTGGTGATAGAATGAATATGATATCTAGTGGAACCAATGCTTTGCTTTGTTCTGGTTCAGAATTACTGTGATTATCCTTGGATCACAGGTCCTGTTCAAACACTTTGAACTCAGCTTATAAAACTCCATGAAAAATACCTTTGGGAAGGGTTGATTTGGGATTGTACTAATTAATAAAATGGGGAATTGACATCTTTAATATATTATATATACTTTTCTTGTATTTGAGTCTTTCATAAAGCTTTATGGGGCTAGAGGCATGGGTCAAGTGGTACAGTGCCTGCTTTGTAAGCATGAAGTCCTGAGTTCAAACCCCAGTCATACCAAAAGAAAAAAAAGTTTTATATGTTTTTCATATTATTAGTAAATGTAATCATAGTTAGCTTATGGTGAACTTGGTACAATGCTGTTGGTAGATACAAATGCAATTGATTTTGTACATTTTATATATGGAAACCTTACTGGACTCATTAATTCTAATGGCTTGTTTTCTGTATAGTTTGTCAGATGATCTGCAAATGATGGCGTTTTCTTTCTTTCTTTTCCTTGTTATTTTTATTCATTTTTCTTAGTATACTGGCTAGGACCACCAGAATAATGTCAAATATAAATAATGAGTGTCTTTGCATCGTCTTTAACATTATACTACTCACTGTTTCAGCATTAACAATTATACTTATTGCAGTTTAAAAAAAAAGAAAATCAACTTATTCAGTACGTATCCATTATCAGGTTTGGCAAATTTTACCTCTAAGATAGATAAAAAAAATGTTTTCCCTTTTTTAAACTTTAAAAAAATTATCATTCTACTCGGGGTACGTTGTGACATTTACAAAAGTTCTTACAATATATCATAGTTGAATTCACCCATTCCATCATTCTCCTTTATTTCCTCCTCCCCCCATTCCTGGAATAGTTTCAACAGGTTGTTAAAAGCTTTGATGGTAAATAGGTGTTGAGTTAAAGCTTTGTTGCATATACAAGGGTAATCATGATTTTTCTTCCAGAATCTTTTAATGTTGTAAAGTTTGTTCATTGATGTTCTCACCTTAAGTTATCATTGCATTCACTGGACAAGCTCAACATGGTTTTATTTCAGAACTTGCAATGATGTTTGTAACTGCAATCAGCATACAAGTTTCTGACTTTATAACTTTCTGACAAGAGTGGTGGCTCTTGTCTGTTTTCTGTGTCAGAAATCACATAAAATATATTGAGGAACGTTTTTTACTTTATGACCTCTGACCTTTGTATCTCATCAGATTAACTCTTCCTTAAGTCTTTCTTTAGTAAAAATCTTTAAAAGTCTGATACTAGTGGATTTTTCTTTTTGTTATATGTGGATATATTTTTAATTAGTTCATTGAGTATCTTTCAATGACTAATAAGACTATCCTAAATTTGATTTCTTCCCAAATCAGATTAGGTAAATTATATATTTTTAGAAAATTATCCATTTTAGTTTTGTTGATATTCTTTATATGTTTTTGTTTTCCTATTTCATTGATACTTGTTCATTATAATCTTTCTGTTATCTTTGAATTTATTCTATTATCACTTTCTACTTGTTGAGTTGACCAATCATTAATTTTTATTTTTTCTTTTCTAATATAAATACCTAAGGAATAAATTTCCTTCTAAATAGTATGTTACAAACATATAAAACTTTTTTCAGGGGAAGTACTTGGGCTTGAACTCAGGGCCTCATGCTTGCTAGGCAGGCACTCTACCACTTGAGCCATTCTGCCAGTCCAACATCTTATAAAACTCGATACATAGCTTTACCATTATAGTGCCCTGAGAATATTTTCTAATTTTCTACACTTTTCCTTTTTTACCTGAATTATTTAGAAGTGTGTTAAAATTTCCAATTATATGGAGTTTTCTAAACTTATCTCCTTATTACTTATTTTAAACTTAACTGCATTATAGTCCGGAAGGTAGCTAATATGAAACTACTCACATTCATTCATAAGCTTTGTGGCAGAATGGATGGTCAGTTTTGGATAATTTTTGTGTATTTGAGAAGAACTCATTTTCTCTAATTTGGGGCACTGGGTTAATCTATTATCTAAATTGTGTCATAAAACAAGTCTATTTATATTCTTAATATCTGTCAACCACTGTGCAAAAGGTATATTAAACCCCTTTACTCTGATTGTGGATTAGATTTGGCTGCATATTGCATTTTAAAAATCTACAAAGTAACAGTAGATCATAGAAGATAGAAGTTGTACAGCATGGTCTAGACTTATGTGGAAAATAAATAAATTCAGTGTGTGCCTGAGTGTCCAGGGCTGATGGAGTTGCTCATTGTGACCTAGAACATAGCACTTGGTTGCAGGGATGGTAGTGATTTTCCTCTACTTCCCTCACCATCTATGACCAGCAGCCAACAGTGACTCATGTTTTCTAATGAGAACGGCTGTGGGACTCATGGCGGAGTGTGTGACACTAGAGTCCTATCATTCTCCAACTCTAAGAAACCTCATGTTACCCACCCTGCAGGCATATTGCCACTGAATTTAAGTGGATTTACCCATGCTCTACCCTTGGATAAATAAATTTAAAAATGTATTTTAAAACGTATCTTAATTTTGGAAGGTATTTTTCGTAAGTGATAGCAATAGTTGTTCCTAACAGATTTTATTATTCCCCAGAGGTCCTGCAGGCTCCCCAGCTAATCTCTTTCTAAATCTTTCTTGTAGTTACCTAATTTTCCTTTCTCTGACCCATTCTCTGACTGAACATTTCTTGTGAAACCATGCCTATGTCTCCCTGCTGAGGTCTCCTCACAGCTTACAGTTATGCCACCTTCAGTGAATAATCCAGATTGCATGTGTAGTAGAGTCCTTTGACACACAGAAGGTTCCTGGGTGCTTCTTGACGTAGAGGGAAATTTCTGTAATTATAGTTACTTTTCAAACCATTGCTATGTTGTTTTCTTCCCATCTGTTTTCCGAACACCTGGTGGTTTTTTTGTTTGTTTATTTGTTTTTGCGGTACTGGGGTTTGAACTCAGGGCCTACACCTTGAGTCACTCCACCAGCTCATTTTTGTGATGGCTTTTTCAAGATAGGGTCTCGTGAATTATTTGCCTAGGCTGACTTTGAACCACATTCCTCTTGATCTCTGCCTCCAGAGTAGCTAAGATTAGGCGTGAGCCACACGGCGCCTGGCTGAACACCTCATTTTAAGATGACATCGTTATTTTGACAGAGTGCTGTATGGTAAAACATCTCTGGTACATATATTATAGAAAATAGTTTTAAGTTTGCAAGTTGATTTTAGCTCATCAAAGACTTTAGACTAACTATAAATTTTTTTTTAAAAAGCAAGCATCTTCCGGAAATACTTTTGTTTATAATAATACCCAGGATTGATGACCACTTATATGCCAAGAATGCTGCTTGGCATTTTATAGACATCACCACATTTTTGTCCTACCAGCACTTGAAGCAAGTTGCTTATCACCATCTACAGATAAAATTCCTGAAACAGAAGATCTGAGATACTCAGTAGTTTCCCTTCAAGCACTGCCTGCGTATTGGCAGACCCTCAGTTCTAACCAAGCTCAGACCGATTCCTGCATTGGTTTTTCAATTACATCCCAACCAACTAAAGGATTCACTTGTTGTACCTTTAGGTCATCACCAACTGGTCTTCTCACGTCATCTTTTAGACAACATCAAGAGTCACTGGCAGCAGAGAGAGAGAGACGGCGGCAGGAGAGAGAAGAAAGGCTACAGAGAATAGAACGTGAAGAAAGGAACAAATTCAAGTAAGAAAGATTTTATAAGATTCTTTTAATAATGAGTTGAAACTTAAAGCACATGCCTTTATAGCTGTATCTGTTTAATACTGGTGTGAAAGGGTTAGGAAATGATATATTTGCTTCTAATTCTGTCTATATCTTTGAGGAAGAGCAAGATTTAACTTATAATAGGCTTGACTTGGGTTTTCTCTAACCATGTAACAGGAAGCACAGAGAGTCAAATGCAATTAGGCAATTGTGCTTTCTTGGGTCATCACTTATCTAAAATGGTCTTTTACAGGCCTTCCTGAGGACAGAGTGCCTTATTGTCCTAACTTAATTTACTGTTTTTCCCTAAAGGTCCTCATGTTTTATTCATATTCTATTCAAAGAAATTATTTTTTCCACTCTCTGGTTTACTTCTTAATCCCTGTACCAATCATATTTTTCTTTTCCTTTTTCCTGTGGTAGGGGAATCATTGTGCTAGCTACTCCCAGCCCATTGCACCCTGATCTCTGGTCTTTGTCCAGTGGTGTGTTTCTGGGGTGGTCCATTACAGAGTCCATGTCTTAACATGTCTGTCCCCACTGAGTCTGGTTTCCCTCTGCTTCTCTTTCTACCAATTCACCTGTTGTCCCATCCTCCAGTTAAACTTCCTTCTACCCCTCACCTGGGCACCATGCCATACTTTCCTTCTTTATGGAATGCAAGACATTTGTGGAGTCTTTGCTTACACACATTCTTCCTTCCCTTCTCCCCTTACCTGGGTTTCTGTACTCCCTTTTCTCTCTTGCTTCTCTTCCTACTTCTCTTATACCTTTCCCCCTTTTTTATCTTCCCAATCATGTCTCCTAGAGCTTGTATTTTTTTTTTCATTTCATTTTCTCCCCACCTCTTCCTCACTTCAGTTTCTTTGGCAAATAATCTGTCCATTGACAGATTAGTTAAATCAATAAAGGATTGATGACTTAAAATGAGGACTTAAAAATTAAAAAACTTGGTTTATTCCAAAAGCCAAGAAGAGTATGTAGAAATGATTAAAATATGAGCAAAATTGTAAAATTGCTTACCTGTCACTCACTACTTAACAAAAACTGGACACCCCAAGTCAATCAGTGAAACGCCAACCCTCACTTTTGTAAGAGTGGGTGAATGGGCATCATGAAATCAACCAGCATCATTTCTCTCCCAAACTTGTGTGGTATGTGCTGAGCTGCCAGATTTCTACCAAATAATAGATGGGGCACCAGTTCTGGATACACCCTCTCTCAGGAGGTTGTTCAAGAAGTTGTTCAAAAAGACCAATTTTTAAAGCCCTGGAACAGCTAAATGTTTCCTGATTTATGGCCTTCTGTGACATTTGCATATTTTATCACCAAATAGCAACAGGGAATTTGACTGAAATATGTGGGAAATTCAGAGATTACCTTATATATCCAAAGTTTTTGATTGACACCCTCTTAAAATAAGGTGCCAGCTTAGGGGAAATGGAATGCACACGTTCCATCTCGTCCTCCTATTGCATCACTGCTGCATGCACCAATAAATCATAGACAGAATGCATGGAGTTCTGGAAACTTCCATGGTAGAGGGAGAAGATGCAGTGAAGTGGCCCAGCGTCCAAAAATTTTGCCAGTGAAGGCTTCCTTTTTTTTTTTTAACCTCCAATGTCACCTGTAATGAACTAAAAATACCCCAAGACATATCAAATGTGGACCAAAAGACTTCCTCTTTTTCTGAAGCACAGTCAGAAGAATTACTAAGGGTCAGAGAACACATAAATCCTGTTTTTTGTCTTAATTATCCTAGCCTCCAAGCAACACTGCTACAAAATCCCAGTGATGGCAGCAATGCCTGGCAAGTGCCTAAAACTAAGTGAGGGGCACCCACCCTTTAACCAGAAGTGCAATGGCCTTATGAGCACTAGGCAAATCATTTCTCTCTGCTAGGCTGCCCTGGATACAGATGCAGTAATCAAAAGTTTGTAATAGGTCAGAAGAAGCCCAAGCTTTCTGGCAGGAGGACAGGAAGAGAAACCAAGGAAACAGAAAGTGCCACTGGCTGGTGCACAAAAGGTCTGATCTGACTAGCATTGAAAAATTGAGCTAATGTTGGAACCAATATCAAAAAGGAGGTCAGAACTCGCAAATTGAAACTAACTTGCATGGCTACCTGGAAAAAACAAAACAAAAGTCACGATTTGTTTTAGAATCTCATTGCAGAATATTTAAGATTTACAGAATATAATTCAAAATAACTTGCCATACTAAAAAGAAAACAGGAAAATTTTAACTAAAAAGGAAAAGATAATCAAACAATCACCACAAAAGGACATAGATATAACTATCAGACAAAGACTTTACAATAACTAGTATAAACATGCTTCAAGAATAAGGGCAAATATGCATGAGACAAAAGAAAAGAGGAGTCTTTGTAAAGAAAAAAAAGATATAAAGAAGAACCAAATGGGAATATATATATATAGAAATTAAAAGTTAAAAAAATTCATTCAATGAGCTGAATAGCAGAATACAGATGAGAAAGAAAAGCCAGTGAATTTGAAGATGGAACAATAGAAATTATTCAATCTGGAGACAAGAGATGGAAATGCGTGATATCTTAGTAGCCCAGGAGTAACACCAAAATGTCTAGCATTCATGTCATGTTGTCTAAGACTAGCAGTGGAATCTCAGAGGTATAGGAAAATAGGGTGAGAATGTGTTATAATGTCTATTCAACCATTATGGCACAGCCACGCACAGAATGAGGATTAGACTTGGGCACTCTGTCTTTAGAGATTATTGGTTACTTCTCACCATTTGCTCCCGGTTCCATTTAAGAGCACAGAGAGTTCTAGGCAAAATGACCCTTTGTCCAGGAGGAGTGCTAATTATCAGAAAAGACCACAGGCACTTGCCATTACTTATTAATTAAAGCACCTGCAATTCCATATTCTGAGAATGTGGATGAAAAGAGATTTAGAAAGGGAAAGAGGAACAGCTTGGCTATTATCTGAATGGCCCACTTTTCATGAACTTCCCTGAGTTGCTTGTACTCCTTGTGCTTTTTACAAAGCATCTCAAAGTTCTTGTCTGTTGCTTTTGTTGACTATAGTCTTAAACTTCCTGAATTGCAAGAAATTATACCTCTAGCATGGGAAACAATGAGGATAGGTGTTTATGGGTGATGACAAATCTGACTCTTGCTACATTTCTCCTCCTCTTCCTAGCATACTGTAGTCATTCTGATGTACTGTCCCTGTTACCAGTGCACTGATAAGCAGAATACTTAAGCTATATTATGAGGTCCAGTGTAGAAAAACTTGATGTCAGGATTCTCCAGGAAAATACCCCATCCACCAAGAGATGACTGATTATATAGTCTTAAATTTAGATTCAAGCTGGAACCTCACCAGCAGGAACAGAAAAAAAAAAGCATTAAAATTGGACTTAGTCAAATATATCATGGGTGTTAATGAAGAGGTTGCATAACCCAAGAGTTTCCAGTGGTCCTAGCATAGCAGCTGAGGTTGTGCTGGCTGTGAAAAATGTCTAATGTTTCTGTGAACTGCAACACAAGATGCCAAGAGAACTTGGGTCTAGTTCGATTTAATTCTTTTAAAAATCGATGTATTGGAGTTTGAACTCAGGGCTTTGTGCTTGCTAGGCTGGTACTTGAGCCACATCCCCACTACTTAGATTCAATCTTAAGATAGATGTTTTGGAACTACTGGAGCTCAGTTGGATATTAATCATCTCCAAAAGCTGTTGCCTACTTGTAATTGCCACATTTTATTTGTATAGTTTTAAAAACTTCTCTTCCTTCCTCCCTCATACACTTACGTTCTTTCCTCAGAGTAGTTAGTATTGTTTCTAAGTGAATCCAAATATCCCCATGTTTTTCTGCCATCATTTTATTGGAAATTCAGTAATTCAACTATGACACTTTTTCATTTTCTGGGCAGGACTTCATGGTTAGTAATTTCTTGGTAATTTTATGAGTTTCTAATTGTACTATTTTCCTTCTCTATTTGTTTGTTCTGCATATTTCTGCTAGCCGAGAGTATTTAGACAAAAGAGAGGAGCAAAGACAAGCAAGAGAAGAAAGGTTTGTATATCTCTTCTTTCCCTTTGTCACCGAATGGCACGTGACTTTGCACTGCTAACCAAGCATGTAGAGAAGACTGTGTTCCTTAAAATATATTAACTTCGCCTCAGGCACCTCGGCGTTGCATAACTGGCATTTATGCAGTAAATAACTGGCATTTTTTTAAACCTCTGTTTTCCCAGAAAAGTTCAGATTTATCATTTAGTGCCATCATGTGAAATGTACATGTCCGTTGCTCCAAAACTTCTCCAAATGAGCACATTGGTGTTAGCATATGTCATGTGTCACTGAATAATGGGAATAGATCCTGAGAACTGCTTTGCTAGGTGATTTTTTTTCATTGTGCAAACATCATAAAAGGTACACAAACTAAAACAGCCATTACATCAGTAGGCAGTATAGTCTTATGGGACCATTGTTTTAAAGTTGTCCATTATTGACCGAGACATCCCTGTGTGGTACTTGACTGTTTTTGAAATACCTATATCCACTACTGAGCCAGTGTTAGGTGTCCTTACTGTATGCTTCTGTGTCATTTGGTCAGCATTCCTTCAACCCATATTTGAGTGTACACACTGCCAGGAACTGGCTGGGGTGCCATACACACCCAAGACTCTTTCTGATTGTACCTGCTCACTTCCTGACCTCCCTCCTGAACTGTATCCAGTTCCTGGATGGCAAGAACCATACCTGGCTTTCCTTATGTATAGAATAAATAAATGAGCTAATGGACCAGCAGCTTTATTTAAGATATCCAAGCTATAAACTAGTTTGTTAGTTTCAGTCACAATGTGGTCTGAATCCCAGTAAAATATAAAATTAATGTATTCATTGTTTGACAAATGAATGTAAAGCAAAGGAAACTGGTTGTGGAAACAGATCCGCAAGTTTTTATCTCCAGCACTGGATAACCGGCAGTTGTCCCATCTGCCACCAGATGGCGATGCAACATGGAGAGATGGAAAAGCTCCTTTTATACATTTTGTATTGAAGCCAGCTGGGAACCTAACAGTTTCTGGACTGTGCCAATATGATGTGGAATTGTGCTAATTCTTTAGACACCATCAGCTAAATAGATCAAGACAGTCTGAGGCAGGGAAGAGTGGAGACGGCCTGTGCTCAATTTAAAAATTAGATGCTTAAGTCAGCCTCATGAGTAAAAACTACAGCGTTGCTTTATTTCCCGCATTCTATTAGATTATTGTCATCCTAGTAACAAGTTGCAGCCAGTAAATAAAGAGTGAAAGATGTTGGTAAAGGAACAAGAAACTTCCGTTTCTCTGACTTGTGCCTCTTTTTGACACTGGGAGGTATTAACATATACTCTTACTGAAAATGATGTTGTCTTTCTGCCTGGGCTTGAGGGATTAGATTTTACTTTTTTTAGTTCTCCCTCCAGTTTTGGTACCTTTTTGAGCTTCTGACAACTTGACCACCAGGTTATGTCTACACACAGGCAAAGCTGTGTGACACCTGGGGAAATGTCAACATGCTTTGTCAAGGACTATACTGACTCAGGCTGATGTCACAATTTTCCCAGGCCACTAAAGGCCAGTCTTTCTGTATATTACTTACTGCCCTTTTTCCAAAACAGGGCTTTACTTATGCCTGGGAGTCTCGAGTAGGGAAGGTTGTCACTTTTCTCTTCTTTTTTGTTCTGCGCTTTGTCCTGGCCCCCAGGCTGCCCATCTGCTGAGCCTTCTTAGTTGATACACGTCTGGGCTGCCCATGGCTGTGTGAAGAACCCATCCTTCCCTTACAGCCCAGATCTCTGGGTATATAGGTTTGCCAAAAATCAGCCAAGCATTTTCCATGTCTTCTCTCTCTCTCTCTCTCTCTTTCTGTCTCTGTCTCTCTGTGTCTGTCTCTCTCTCCCTCTCCCTCCCTTCCTCTTGTTTGTTGTTGGTTTTTTTATCTGTTGAGTGCCTCCGTAGCCCAGATGCTGTTCTTTTTTTCTTTCTGTTTTTTTTTTTTTGTTGTTGTTGTTATTTTGCAACTCTGGGGATTGAACCCGGGGCCTTACAAATTATAGGAAAGCACTCTACAATGTAAGCTATGCCTCTAGCCCCTTTTTTTTGTATTTTGTTTTTGAGATAGAGTATCACTAATTTTTCCCAAGCTGGCCTCAAATTGTAGGTTCTCCTGCCTCTGCCTCTCAAGTATCTGGGATCTATATCTCTCATTCTTAATGAAAAGACTAAGATATGACCTGAACCATGGGCAGATGTTTTTGAGGTTGGTATCATATAAGCAGAAGATAATGAATGTTACTTTGCTTGTTGAGAAATGCTGACCATCACTTATATTTAATTTCATGTCATCTCATTTTATAATTTTATGCAAACTGTTGTGTGACAGTGATGCTTATCAGGAATCAGTTTCTGTTGAGATACTACTTCTATTTTTTTAAATGTTAGAAGAAATATATCAATATGATAATGATCATATTAGGTGACATTCATTAATTTCTTTTAAATAGTGAGAAATGATATCTAGTCTAGGGACAGGATGGGATAGGTGGTGAATCAATTCCATTTGGACTTGTTAGTCTGAGGGCATTGATAGGACAGTGGCAGGAAATGCCTTGCAGTGAACATGGGCTACATGAACAAAGTATAAGGGAAGATTTGAGGCTGGGTAAGGAATTTGGAAATTATGCATAACAATGATTAATGAAATAGTGAAAAAAGGTTCTATGCATACCTAGAAGGCCTGAGAGTAGAAATTAGAGGGCACCAGGCTTGGGTTTAACATAAGGGAGAATTTCCAAATAGGAGGACAGCAGGAAAAGTCAGCATCATAAGTAGGTTTAGGTTGATATAAAGTCAAACAAGGATATTGTAGGGCCCTGTAAAGAGACTGAGCTGCACTTCCAACCCTGCCACTAGGCCCTATGTGGGTGTTGGAGTTCATTCCAATGGTTTATTTACTTCTCTCTCCCACTGAACTGTGAGCTACATAAGGGTGGGATTTTTTCTTGTTTATTATTAAATCTCTAGTGCCTACTATAGTCCTTAACAGATGATAGGCATTCCAAAAATGTTTGATAAATAAATGGAAAGATGAGTGGATAAACAATGGATGAGGTAGAAGAAAGAGAAATGAGAAGGTTTGGATGAAGGTAGCAAAGGTGAAAGGTCTTTTCTTGGGGCTGTGCTGTATGAATGGAGACCTCATGCTTTGCATGGAGGCTTTGTCATGGTCTGTTGATTGGTGTTACTGCACAAGGTAGCCGGGATGCATGAGGTCACTGCATGGGCCAGTGGGGCTCCCCACATCAAGTACAATTGAACTTCTAAATGCCATGGCTGTTAGAATCACTGTCTACAGGAAGGCCATTATACAGGTCCAGCCTCCTCCCCAAGAACTGCTGGAGGTCCCTGTGGAGCAGGAGGGTTGCTATGCTGTGATGTCCTGCCAGGTGCTGTGGCACACGTACCAGTCCACCACCCTTACCTCTCCAACTGTTACAGATAAACACTGTAGCTGCTCTTCCAGAAAGACTTCACGATCTTGATCTCTATGCCTCTCTGATCCTGTAGTTTAAAATTATTTTAATTGTGATAAAGTTCACATAACATAAGCATGACCATTTTAGTGTGTAGTTCAGTGATCTGAGGCTTATTCATGTTGTCATACAACTAGTCTTCAGAACTATCTCATCAGATGAAACTGAAACTCGATACCCATTAAATGAGAGACCTACTCTAGCCTCTGCCATTTTTTTCTACCATGTAAACATCTTCATACCCAGGGACAATTCTAATTAAACTCTCAACTCTTCCCGTGTCATAGATCAGTGGTAGTGTCCGTAGTCTTTTATTTTATATCTATCCATGCTTGGGGTGAGCAGCCCCTAGAAAGCCCCCAGAAAGTGGGGTGAACTCTTTTGATTGCCAACCCATGTCTGCCAGCCTGGCTTCACACCAAGAAGGGTATAAGATGCCATGTACCAGGCCAGAAGTGCATTGCCTTCCTGGCTGGAAGCTTTTATGTAAGGCTTCATTACTTCCTTCCCTGACTCCTGGTTTCCTGTTCTGGGATTCTGATCTCTTGGTCCTGTCTAAATCCCCTTCATTGTACTTCATTCCGTGCCTGCCCTTTTCTTCTGTTACAGGCTTGGGCTCAGTGTGGTAATACCTGGGTTTACAACTCGTCCTAGGCTGATAGCAGTTTGCCACCACCCGTTCAAAATCTGCCTCTAGGGGGCCATGACTAGTGCCCTGAAAATCCTCTTCTAAGGTTGCTGTCACTTCCACCATCAAGGGGTCCCTTGCTGGTCTGAATTAACCTTTATTACCTCTTTTACTTTTGGAGAGATGATGCTATTGGCAGGAAAAGCCTAGTGTGAGTCTTTCTGGGGACAGCTTCATCCTGTAACCATATGCCCAGCCTTGGGCATTTGTATGTGCAACCCATCACAAATCTCTCACTGAGATTTGCCAAGAAAGCAAACTTGCTCCTGATGACAATGAGACAGGACACCTTTGCCCCTCAGCCTCCTGGGATACAGGTGGGCCTCAGCAGGTGAGAGGGAGCCTCTTGGCAGGTTTCTTTCTGCAGTTTTGCCTGCTTCTCAACAGCCAACAAATGCAAGGCACTGAAAGAACAAAGGATGTTAATCTTCCTGTTCTCAAAAATCATATTGTCTGCTTGTTGGAAACAGACATACATATGTGAAAAGATGACTAAATATGCCAGGCAGTAAATGTAAAATGCCATCTGAGTTGAATGGGCTACATATCCGACATGAGTTCAGAGGCAGGACCAAGATCACTTCCAGCTGTGCAGGTGCAGGCTGGCTTCACAGTGGGAGAAAGCAGTGAATGCAACATGGCCTGAGGGGCAGTGTCCCTTCGTGCTGTGGGAGAAGGTGTGACGACCAGCGGGAGTCATGCTCACCTAAGGAGTGCATGCATTTCAAATGCATTCTTTTAAAGAATTGAAATAATGTGCACTGCCTTTCTCATCCTGGTGAATTAGGAGTGTCTTGTATAGTGATGAGGTGAGCATCTTGGTGAGTAGGGAATTGCTGGTGAATCTGGATGGGTACAGAGTGAGGCACTAGTTCAGTGGTGGCCACGTAAGATAGTCAGACCTGCTACAGCTGAATCCGTACGTTTATTTCTGCACAAATAATGGTGGGTAAAATTAGCAGACATCTGGAAGAGGCACATATTTCAAAGTTATTTTGGTCTGATCTATAAAGCACACTATGAGGAATATGATTGGTAGCTGGTCTTAATAAACAGTTAGTGGGTTCTGCCTGCCTGAAATGCAAAACAGATGTATCTTTGTTCTTTTAAACTGACTTTGATGAATAAACTATATGTGACGTCAGGTCCGAGCTATTGGATGTCTGAGTCCTACTTAGAAATATTTTAGAATATAAAAAAGTTTCCATGGTTGATGCTGAGAGAACAAAGTGAATTCCAGTTGCATTGCTGTTAGCATTGAAGCAGGTTCAGAAATTCCAAGGGGCCTTTATCCAAGCAGCCCCTTTGGGTATTTGGGGTATTGTTTCTCTCTGCTGCACAGAGGGCAAGCTCAAGAGGGTTTGGTTCTCCACTGTCACTGTTGGGACTTTTCACTGGTGGTTATTGCTGTTTTGTTTGTTTGTACAAATGTTTACTAAAAGAGAAAAATAGATCTGCAGCAGTGTTCCAGGATCAGGGACTGTGTGATGTTGCCATTTCCCCCAATTTGTTTGGTTATGAGTGATGCAGGATTTTTAATCATTAGCATCTTGGCTTCACTGGGTGTTTTTGGCAGGCTGACCTTCCAGTCAGCCCTGCGTTGTGCTCTGTGCATCAGGAAACCAGCTCACTCTGCAGGTGTTTCATCCATAAACAAGCACCGACCACGGGCTCCTCTTTCTTTTTACGGAAACCCTTTGGAATTTAACTTTCAGATACAAATACTTGGAGCAGTTGGCAGCTGAGGCGCACGAGAAGGAGCTGAGAAGCTGGAGTGTGAGCCGTGGCAGAGCTGACCTCTCCTTGGACCTGACCTCGCCAGCAGCCCCTGCCTCACCCGCTGCTGTAAGCCAGAGCCCTTCGTCTGTAGACTCACAAGAGGCTCTGGCAGTATCATCCTCCTCCCCAGCAACACCTCAGCATCCCCAAGGTGAGTGCAGGGAGAGGAGAGGGAAAACTGATGGATTAACATCTGACAGGCTTCTTCTGGGCAGCAGAAAGGATTCCGATGTGCAAACTAACACAAAGACAGCAAGACAGGTAAGTTTCAAGAGTGGCTGTAGCCTGCACTATTATTGATCATCTAGTCTTCAGAGCTAGTCATAGTAAAGTGAAATGACTTATGAAAATTGTACGTGCATGATTGTTGAACAGAGAGAATACACAAAATAAGACTAACTTTGACACTTAATCTGAAATAACGGGGTAGTAACTTAGTACTCCATAACTTGGATAGGTGACTCTACCCAAAAAAGTGACCACTTTGAGATTTTTTTTTATCCTAGGAACTGTTAGTCTGATTTAAATTAATTTATGGAGAATAAAATTAATTAATTAAAGCAAGCAAAGAAAAATGTGGACCCAGTGAAAATAGATGTTAAGTACTAAAGAAGGAAAGAATAGTAAAAATTACTGGCAGGTGGTGGGGTGCTTATGTATACATAACTACATGCAGGCTCTCCCTCGAGAAACTCTGTCTTAGCTTTATTTGGAGAAAAGCAACAATATTGCTCACTGCAGCTTTGGGCATCATCTTTGGTCTGTGCACTGTGGGTCCGATTTCTTGCACATTAACGCAGAGCATGGTTCTTGGGTATAGGCGTTACACAATGTGTGCTGATTAACACTGCCGCTAGCACTGTTTAGTTTCATTGAGTGTTATGGCTTACAGCCTGATGTAGACTTAGCCAACTGAAGACAGCAGAGACACTAAACTTTTAACTCTAGGAGGATTGACTAAATATGGCATAAAGTTTAATTTAAGCAAGGCAGGACTCCATGACCTCAGCAGAACTGGATGTAATGGAATGACATTGTCTGTCCAATTTTTTGCTGGCTCTCCTAGCCTCAGGGTTCATTCTGCAGGAGCAGGCTGGCTCCCCTGCAGCTTTTCATCATGTCTAGTTACTGCTGGTCCCTGAGCCATAGACGATTGTCCCAGGCAGATGGCTCAGTCATACATGAGTAATGTCAGCCTGAAAATATTGAGACTGAGGCTTGGGAAAACAGACGGTTCTGTGACAGCTGTGCACTTTCCAACTCCTGCTTTATATCAGTGCTTTATCTTCAATGTAGTATTTCTAGGAGCAGTAGAAAAAATATCCCCCAGCAAAGCTGTGGTTTAGAATTTAATCTTGGCACTTTTCACTCCAAGAGTTGTACTCTAGCCATTTATTGAATGATTGTCTAAACTGTGGAACACAGAATAGCCCAAACTGAGAGAGAACTGTCAGTATCTATAAATGCTATTGTCCTCAAATTTTTGAACCACTTGGTGTTTGTGGCAGAAAACAGTTCAAGTATTTTGTTCAATTAAAGTTGAACTTGAAATATTCTAATAAAAAGAATGTTTCAAACTTTAAGAACTCAGAAAATGTATCTTGAATATATACAATATGCATCTGGGGAAGCATAGCTATTTCAGCATACATACTGAAAAATAAGTAGCAAATGAGAGCCTCCTTTTCAGTGGAGAGTTTTAACAAAGACTGAGAGAATGTTTGGCCAAAATTACACAAGTGATATCTGCATCTGAAAAAGGAAAACAGGAGTTGAATTTATGCATGATTACAAACTAGTAACTTCATGTGGTGTTTTCTGGGGGGCGGGGCATGAGGGGTGAGGGCAGCGGCTCTTTTGGAATTTAGATCTGTCCATCATATGTTAAGTGTGATCCAAATCAGTGGGAACCAGCAAAATATTCTAACCTCCTTGTACTACTATGTAACTAAGTTTTCAGATTGGAAATTATAAGTATATAAAGAGAAATTCCATATAGAAAGGTCATAAAAAGTACTGTTGAGGCTTCCTTCTAATTTGGATACTTTTGCTTTTCTAACAGAAATACATAGTTGAGATAACAGAAAGGACAGAGAGGATTTTCTCAGTCTACCTTGAAATGTCCTGCAGCATCCCATTAATAGTCTGTTCTTTTTTTATCAGATCCCATTTTCAAATGTTAAAGGAACTTTTTGCTTATTCCTAACATTTACAATCTCTGAACATCTGGAGGAAGAATAAAAAGTATAATCACACATCCAGATGTTTGTCTTGCACCAAACACCTGGCATTAAGAGGTCTAAATGTGCCAAGGATCACCTTGCTTTCTCTGATTCCTGTGGAATCCTCTGGTCACATACGTTTCATATTTTTGTAGCACTGTGCCCCTTCCTCCCAGATGTTACGATGCAACGTCTTACTGCGGGTTTGGGTAAGGTGGGCGATGGCTCAAATGGGTAGGAGGATTTGCTTCAGCTCTTGTTGGCACAGTGCTGGGATTGGGTGCCATCCCAGCCATTCATCATGGTGCCACAGTACTTGTGGTGGTGTTCAAATTTATACCACACCAACCCTTTCCACAGTAACTGCAAAATCTGCAGCCTACATTTCAGAATTGTATTTGTAAGAAAAGGAAAAGCAAATATTAGTTATTGAATTATGTGTGTGTGTATATATATATATATGTATGCAGGTGTATAAATACGTACATATATATACACATATCTCAAGATTTACAGGTCACGTTATAGCTTCTTTACTACAATTCTTTACTCAAATTCTGGAAAACTTTTTAAAGTAGAAGTTGTGAAAAACATTTTAAAAATTCTTTTCTCTCTTACAAAATATGTATTTTTAAAAGAGAAGGCCTAATGGTTAAATACCAATAGCTTTATATGCCATCCAGTGAGATCTGTCAGCCAAACCCTTGCCAGCTGAATCTGCTGTCACTCTTGTATAAATGATGCCACTAACCCCCACTATCAAGTCAATGTGTGCTTGCATTATTTTTCATCTGGCCCTTTTGTGGCTCACAGCAGATGTGTATCACAGTATTGCCTAGACTTAGTGATGGAATGAGTGGTTTTTCCTCTGTGTAAAATCACCAGGCCCAAGTGAGGAAAAGATATCTGTATATGTTCTTTAATTAAAATAATCAAGCCAACATTTTGGTGAATATAAAAGGACATCTCTCTTTATCCGTTGCTTCAATATCTTTTCCTTATTTTTTTTTTCACTGAGATCTGGAGGCTTGCCCCAGAATATCTACCTAATACATTTATTTTCTGTTGTACTTTTAGGAACCTCACTGATGACTAGAATCAAATAAGTTATTCGCACTCATTGGAGGAAAAGTATACTGTTCCTGTTGGGACAAAATTCTTCAGTGTGGCTTTTCAGAAAGTTGCACCAGGGATTAAAAGTAATAATCTAGGATTGGGCTCACAACTGTAATCCTGTAATCCTAGCTACTTGGAAGGCGGAAGTAGGAGGATCATGGTCCAAAGCTGGCTCAAGCAAAAGCATAAAGCTCTATCTGAAAAACAAACTAAAACAAAAAGAGCTAGGAACATGGCATCAGTGCTAGAGTGCTTGCTAGCAAGTACAAGGCCTTGAGTTAAAATCCCAGTCACACACAAAAAAGTAATAATCTAGGTACCTATAAATGAAGTCAATATAGCCAAATAACCTAATATGTGTCAGGGAATGTATCTCATGGAAACAATGTAGGAAAAAAACACTCAACCTAAAGCCAGATGTTGATAGTAGTCCTTGCAGTGTATCCTAGGGTTGAACTGCCTTCCCTGCAGAGATAGAATTATGTTCTACCTTCCTCCCCACTTCACATTCTTGGGACCCCCTTGAGGCCAGGTGAAGAGAAATGACTTTTCCCAGTGAAAGGAAGCTGCTATCAAGAGCTTATAAGAGGCTTTCACCCATTAGTCTCATCATGAAAACAGACATAATAGCAAATTATTTTCATTGTTGGCTGGTAGCCCCCATATTGTACACACAAAGGGTACCTTAGAGATGCATTTGACAATTTTGCCATATTAATTTTATGTCAGGAAAAAAAATACTTTCAGCAGCAATTTCTTTTTCTAACCCATAATTGGATTCCTAGGTATTTCTAAAAAATCTTACTGGGGATATAAGATATAGCCTATCCCATCTTGTGTTTACCTGGCAGCATTTATAAAAATCATTGAGAATGGCATACTGATATTTGTCCCACAGATCCAAACATTTAAAGGTCTGACAAATAAGACAGTTCCTTCAGCTTCTGGATTCTCAAGCCTGGAAATAAGGTGTAGACATTATAATTACATCATGAAGTATTCAGCCTATTTGAAGAGTCATTTTTTGGTGAGGGCATCCAGTCATCATCCTGGCTGTGGTTTTTGTTAGCTATAGCATAGATTGAGCATCTTTGTTATGTAACACTGTTTGAGTCTCCCTCAGGTGAAGGAGCTCTTTTAGCTTACCTAATGCACATGGCAGAAACATCTGGTATCCTATTTCTAACTGGCACAGTAGCAATGGAATATCGTTAGTCATCAGCCTCATGCATGCTGGTTCTTTAGTGTAAAGTTTTTGGATGCCTCCAATCCAGTGTTTCATGAATTGGCAGGAAACTTGATCCTGTGGTTCTGTGACTCGGGGCTGCCTTGGCTCCTTAGACCTCACCTAACTGCTGGTACTTGATGCCATTTGGTCAGTTAGGTAAAATCGCTTAGGAACTCTACCCACGGCCAAGGCCCTACCTTCTATACCTGCTGTGGGATCTTACTGAAAACCTTTGTAAGTCAGTGGATTTTTCTGTCTTGCTATTTATGTGTCTTAATAATGGGAAAAGGCAAACATTTTCTCATGTTCTCACTGTAGAGAAAAGAGTTGCCTGAACTGTGTTTTCTTTTACCATATTTTAACATGTTAAATAGTCTGGAGTCTTTTTCAAGTAGACAAAGTATAAACCTTAAGTAAAGACAAAGCAAAGAATGACATTGGGAAAGTTGGTGAGGAAAGGTGTCGTCTAATCAGCATGGTGATTTCATAGGCACTATGAAGTGCCAGGAATTGTGAAGGTTTTATCCTACTTTATAAGCTAATAAAGTAGCCTGCTGCATGCAATTTCATGAATACTGGCAGAAG